CCCTAGTTACAAAATCGTTGGTTTAAGTTCGATCGAGTGAATAATATTTTTGTAACGATTTTTTTTTCTTCCCGGGGCCTAAAATGGGAAAAAATCATGCGAAATTAGAGTCATATTTAGTAACTCGTACATTTTAAAATAAAGTTGGCTACTAAAATATAATGACACTTCATGTTTTTATTATCTTTCCTCTATAATTTTACCTGATTAGTTCGCGATTTGGTGAACAAGACATTTTTAAAGAAATTTTCAAAGTTGTTGACTCAAAATCGCTTAATCAACCGTCAAAATTTAGCTCTTTTTCACGAGCTAAAAAAGCGGATTGGTACATGGCTTTGAACACCAAGGCTTGTTTAGCCTGAAAGGACATTCTTTTTTCTTCAAATTAGGGAAATGAAATTTTGGGGTAAATGAAATCACGAGCGCTGACAAAGCGAAGCAAATGTAGTTGTTACACTGAAAACATGATATTGATATGATATTTTCCTTTGATAAATCAACATCTCTTGAGGGGGGGTCAGAAAAAAACCCCTGAGATGATCAGGGGGGGCTTCAAAAAAATGAAAGGAAAAAATAAGGAAATCATCATAGCCCACCCTCTAGATAAATTATGAATGCTCCCTAAGTGTCAAAAAGTCCACAAAGCCGTTAAAAACACAACAAAAGTCACAAGTAATCTGTTCTGAATTTTATGCAGCGATTTAACGAATTAACAATTTTTAATCCAACGATACCCACCTGAGACTGTGTTAGTTTAAGAGTCCATAGAACTTCTCAGAAGATTTCTCGGAAAGACCTCCAGAAGGAAATGAATGAAGAATTTGAACTTATAACTGTAACAATTTCACTTGCCACCACGGCGATGAACGAAAACAACTGACGAACTGCCACAGGCAAACCAGCTTTCAGTGCAGTCATGCAAAGCATGTCATGTCACGTCACGTAATTCTGCCCCGTGCATTTGGGAAGGAGGGAGTAAATTCTTCCACGCTGTGCGCTAAAACATTTAAGAAATAAAATAAGCTTTTGACGGTTTCATTTTTGCCCTCGCTTAAGGGCAAAGATGCCTCTTCCGCTGATATAATCTTGGACTTGATGAGCAGGCGTTTTTAGGGGATTCGTAATTCCTCGCTTCCCACAAACGAAAAGTGTGAATTATTTTTTTCACCTTTGATCTCAACAACGTTACGCTCAATTTTCTGCTTTGCCCTTCGCTTTATCTACAGACTGGTATAAATGACACATATCTTGGTCTTAGGTAAGGGAGGAAATATGGGAAAATATGACTCCCCTGAAAATGCCACCAAGGGAGGCTAAATGTTTGGTTGCCTCTTAGGCCAAATTCGCTTCGGGGATCCGGATTTCTTGACCGTGGAACTTGTGGAAGGTACAAGTGTAATAACTGCACCCAAGAATAATAACATTTGAACCTAAGTGTAATAAAGGTTTCATCTGTCACGACTGAGATAATATGAGACATGTCCACAACAGCCTAAATATGGTTATCTTAACTTAAAAAGCTGACATCACGGTTCATGTCACCAAACAGAACTAGAAAAAAAAAGGAACGAGAAAAAATACCATAGAATCTAGCAATGGCTCTCAGTTAAAGCTTTGGCAATTTTTTGCTATGAAACGTGCTTTTAAAAAAAATCATCGCTCCAGAACAAATAAATATGTCAGTCCCGTTCGCTTTCATAAAATGTCAGGCTAAACAATTTTAAACCCAGTGGACTGATCTGTTATTATTTTTTCCCCTCTGTCTTCTTGTCATTTTCACTATTTCACTCACTGCTGAATTTTATTGATAGGATTTCATGACTGTCAGTACTTTGCAAAAATATGTTCCCGCAAATAAAAATTACCGCAAAAATCCGCAACTCCAGAGGAAATTCTGTATTCTCTTAACTTAAATTCACTTCACAAGAATACAGTACCAAGAAATCTTCTCTGTTCAATTACAACTGGTCTCTTTTTTTCCGAAACAAATACTGACGCACACTTAGTATTGTTTGAAAATATGTATTTCTGTTACACGTACTCAATAAAAACGAAAATATTATCAATGCTGGGTACTGGGTACTTTCTGAAATCGCAAAAATTAATCCCCAGCAAGAAAAACCAGTGTGTCCTAATCGCAAAAATTAGTTCCCGCAAAACACAAAAAATCGTCAGTCCGCAAAAACAAACTCCTGCAAAAATTTCGTTCCACACGGTATCCGTTGGAAAAATGATCGGTCGTTTGATCAACCAGGGCCAGGTCGTTATTTTTGGTTCCTTACTTGCGTCAGTTCAGGTTTATTAGACTACCTTTGTAATCACCAATTATGTTTATAATTATGTGCTTTAGTTTTAAATTCAATTTTGGTAACGACCCCACAGTATCAGCCCCCGACAAAGTTTGTGTTGCAAACCGACTAATATCGGAAAAAATGATATCATGTGTATTCTTAATTTTGTTTGTACTGGGTTTATTTTCTCTTTTCACCGATCAGTTCCTTCGATTTTGTCCTTTCAACTTATCCAAATCTTTTTTTGAGATCCGGATGCGGCCACTAGTTCATTGGCTTCCGAAGAGCTCATTCCATGTTGTTGGCTTTTAGTCGGGATGTTTCAACAAAAGGAAACACCGAACCACAGGAAACCGAATAATTAGTAAGGCTCGCAACAAATATGTCTCTTGTTCCTCTAGGATACACATGATCAGGCACAATTTTCATATTACATAAATAAAATTATACTGTTTTTCGTCCTATAAGTGAGCCTCTAATATAACTCGAAAAAAATTGATTTACTTGCACGCGCCAGCATAAGCCTTGATTGGCTCCGAACTCAGAGTAACATCTTTGCAGGTGGAGATGCAGGAATTTTCCATTGGGGTAGGAGAAGGTCCAAATTTTGGTTCAGAAAGGACTGTTGAACTTTTTTGTGGCAAATTACTTTTTTCCCACACCCCCTCCCACTAGTCACTGAGAAGGCAGAGACAACTACTTGTTCTCAATCTGTGAAAACCAGTCGCCGTTGGCGCGGGAAATACTGCTTTGCAAGCAGAGGCGAACAGATCATAGGAGGGTACCCAAAGACAATCACATTTTTGAATATCCCTGGAATTTAGTTTGGTGGCAAAATACAACACGCGTTTCATTGAAAAAGTCAGCCAGTTAAACAGTGATATACAATACTATCGTTGTAAGGATTTTAGTCTCAAACAAGTATCAGGTCTGATGGGGGATCCGGACCCCCCAGGCACTCCCCCTGGATCCGCCACTGCTTTGGTGCCCTTTGACATCCTTTCTACAGCATTCGGTAGTTCATGGTACTTCGAACACACCCGATTGCTAGCTATAGATGCACGTTCTGAACTTGAAACACAATCATTATAAACAGCAGCTATAAAATAAAAGAAGTGCACAGCGCCCCTCGAGCAAAAACAGGGGAAAAAGTTATTATTTTCTTTAACTAGTTACAAAAGATACAGTCCAAAGCTAGTTTTATTTCATAAATGTTTTAGAACACACCATGGAAGAATTTCTTCCCTCCTTCCCAATTGCGCGGGGCAGAATTACGTGACGTGACATGCCTTGCATGACTGCATTGAAAGCTGGTTTGCCTGTGGCAGTTCGACAGTTGTTTTCGTTTTGCCGTGGCGGCAAGTGAAATTCACAGGAAAAAATAACGGATTTCCATTTTTGGATATTTTAGGGTATTTAAAGAACACCCATGAAAATCCCAAATTTGGCAAAGTGAGACAAGTCCCCACCAGGGAATTCCCAACCAAGTTCCCTGGTTGGGACTTGTCTCACTCTTCCAAATTTGGGATTTTTGTGGGTATTCTTTAAATTCCCTAAAATATCCAAAAATGGGAATCCGTTATTTTTTCCTGTGATTGTTACAGTTATAAGTTCAAATTCTTCATTCATTTCCTTCTGGAGGTCTTTCCGAGGAATCTTCTGAGAAGTTCTATGGACTCTTAAACCAACACAGTCTCAGGTTGGATTAAAAATTGTTAATTCGTTAAATCGCGTAAATCGCTGCATAAAATTCACAACAGAAAACGGAACAGATTTGATACTCGTGAATTTTGTTGTATTTTTTACCGCTTTGTGGACCTTTTGACACTCAATACTTTAACTCAGCTTTATTTTAAAAAATCTATACACATTTTGGACCAATATTGTTTCGAGAAGTTACCGAATAATTAGAGGTTTGGCGCCTACCGTAATTCGCATTTGGTTGTGCTTCGGTCAGAGGTCACGTTTTTTCGTCCGTTTCTAGTGTAACATTTTACATTTGCTTCGCTTTGTCAGCGCTCGTGATTTCATTTACCCAAAAATTTTATTTCGGTAATTTGAAGAAAAAAGAATGCTCTTTCAGACTAAACAAGCCTTGGTGTTCAAAGCCATGTACCAATCCCCTTTTTAGGTTGTGAAAAAGTGCTAAATTTTGACGGTTGATTAAGCGATTTTGAGTCAACAATTTTGAAAATTTCTTAAAAAATCTCTTGTTGACCAAATCGCGAACTAATCAGGTAAAATTATAGAGAAAAGATAGTAAAAACATGAAGTGTCATTATATTTTAGTAGCCAACTTTATTTTAAAATGTACGAGTTACTGAATATGACTCTAATTTCGCATGATTTTTTCCCATTTTAGGCCCCGGGAAGAAAAAAATTCGTTAAAAAAATATTATTCACTCGATCGTACTTAAACCAACGATTTTGTAACTAGGGCCCATAGGGCTTTATTCTGGCTGAGTTTGAGGCCAGGTCATTTTTTGACTATTTCCATAGACGACGCGTAAAGTAATTTAATCAGGCGTCCTTTTCCCCTCGTCTCCCAAACAAAAGGGAAGAAGGACCGCCTGATCGCAGGTTAAGATTGGCTTAGAAACGCAATTTTGTAGACCTCCTGAGGGGGTTGTAAGTGAGATTTTGCACACGAAATGTTGTGCTCTTTCCTTATCGGCAGCCTAAATAGCACACACTAATTTTATTATAGGCGTTCCACTTCAGCAGGAACCGCCTGGAGTCAAAAAAAGACAGTGTGGAGTATTTGAAGTCAGTTGGAATCCACCATCCCTAGACTCTGGTGGCGGTCCTCTAACTGGCTATCAGGTCCAGTTAAGTACGTTAGGTGGGGGAAGTGGTGGCTGGCGTAACTGCACGGCCTTCGTTTCATCTCGTAGCTGTTTGTTCACAGACCTGTGGAATAAGACAGAGTATCGCATTCGAGTCCGAGCTTTTAATAAGAAGGGGCCAGGCCAATGGGCAAACGCTTCAGAAACAACGGATTTAATTGGTAAGTAATATATCTTAATAGTGTTGTATAACACCTAGTAAGTTTTGGCACTTACTTATTATAGCTTCTTTTGCATCTCCCTTTAAGATTTATCTCTACGTTTATCAATTCATACAGCCATTCCTTTCTAACCTACCTAGATAAAGTTGGTAAGTGGCTCACATCTAATCAGCTTACCCTGAATATTACTAAAAGCACGTTTATTATCATAGGTAGCAGCCAGCGCTTGAAAAAATTGAAATCAATCTCAATTGCTACTGATGATAAGAGTATTGAAGAGGTTAGCTCCTTTTCGTACTTGGGTGTGGTTATCAATAACAATCTAAGTTGGCGAGATCATATTGATTATATCAATAATAAGGTAAATAAGAAATTGGGACTTCTTAGACGTATAAAATCATGCTTAACCGTTGGAGGCTAGGCTTATGTTCTTTAACAGTTACATCCTTCCTATATTCGACTAATATTATTTGGAGATATAGGGGTAACGTGGCTTTAATGGAAAAACTACAAGTTCCACAAAACAAAGCAACGCGTATAATTTTAGATTTACCCCCTCAAACATCAGCCACTGAGGCTTGAGATAAACGTGGGTGGAAATTGCTCTCATGAAGACGTGTTTTATGAGCATCTTTATGTCTAAGTGCCAGAATAACTTGTTTACACATTCTTTTTATCTTGGCCTAAATAGTGAACATCATGATCACAATACCAGGTCTAAGGATAACGTATGAAAGGCTCTTTCAAAAAGAAACTGGGGTCTTTGGACTTCCACAAATTTGGCTTCGAACGGAAAAATCTAGACAAGTCATTGAGGGAGCTCAAGTCACTTGACAAATTTAAAAAGGCCATCCGCAATGAAACATTTGATTAATTGATAGTTAGTTCATAGTAAGTTCTAATTTAGTCATAGATTTGTCTTATTCACTTAAAGTTTTTTAGTAGGAAGACCGTTCTGTAAAGCACTTTAGGGTGACTTGATTAATTGATAATTAGTTCATAGTAAGGTCTAATTTAGTTATAGATTTTTCTTATTCACTTAATGATTTTTAGTAGGAGGACCCTTCTGTAAAGTACTTTAGGGTGAAGTAGGCATCCTCAATAAAGATTGATTGTCGTTATTATTTCCTCATTCGTCCTCCTTTCTTTTCACAATATTAGCATTCATTTTCTAATTGTGTCATTTTAACCTTTGAGCGTTTTCATTTATATGGTTACACCTCTGCTTTACCTTTACTTTACCAATTAATTGATTTTTCTTCGCTGATAAACATCGTTTTGTTTTACGAAGATAATTAAAACATTAGTTTATCATAGGACCGCCCGATGTTTCCGAAATAATAAACAATGAAACAGAAATCCCTGGGATGAAACCCATTGTAACAGTGCAGTGGACACGCCCAAACGAGAGATACTGCAACATCACCATGTATTCATTGCGCTACAAAGTAGTTCAACCAGCCACCGAGAAAATAACGGAAATAATAAATACCACCAACGCCAGTTTAACAAGTTTAGTGCTTGAATTCCAACACAGCAAGAAGTATGAAGTAACTGTCTTTGCTTGGAATTACCTGGGACGCAGTAAAGCAAGCACAGCATGGGAAGTGAGAACAGCACAATGTAAACATACTTTCTTTCGTTAAATAATTAAATAAATATAGAGAGCCATATTGTGTTGCTTCTTGGACATCTTTGTCTAAGCGTGTGCGGCCGCCATGGTTTCAAAGATCGACAAGCTTACCTGCATCGAAATTTATATGTGTACTTTGGAATACGTTATTTTTCTGACACGCAATCAACTTCTTATCCCACATGGATTTTTAACTTATTAGAGTATTTTGGGAAGAAAATTATTCCTTTGAATAAAAGATAACAAAAGATTGCAATGTTCCTTACAATACGATTCACTTCAAATTCATATCGGCCAATAACACTAAAAAACCCTTACTCTATGTAATAAAACATATAGCATGGGTCCAAGTAAGCAAGTAAGGCATGAATATCTCATAAGCAAAATTTTCTTGCTGAGAGTGAATCATGATGATAACAGGAAAAAAGCTTTCTGGCGGTGGGGAAATTAAAGTACCATAGCCTTATTAAGACTTTTGAGAAGCCAAAAACTAAGGTTGGTAAAACTGTTAGCAGGAGACCTCAATCGAATTGGTTAAAGATTTTAATACTCTCAAAATTTCTCCCACCGTATAAATCTTAAAATTGTACCAGACAGTTCTCTCAGCTTGGAGCGCAGTTGTATTTCTTAAAAGTCTTTGCTAATCTAAATGATCTCTGCTCTTTTCATGCAAGGTTTTATTTATTTAGTATATTAAAACTGCTGTCACTCTTGATAGATGTTCCATATCCCGTTATGCGTTTGGATTTTAAAAGAGGCTGTAGCTCTATAAACTTAACTTGGAATCCACCATCACGTGACGCCGAAGGAGGAATGGTGACAGGGTACCTTGCACAGATAAAAGCGGCCAGTTCCGAAGGACCATGGATAACAAAAAACGTTTCTCAGTCAACTCAGTCATGCCTATTTACCCATCTTAAGCCAAATAGCGAGTACCATGTAAGAGTAATGGCGCAGAACAAAATGGGAAATGGTTGGCCTTCTGAAGTATCTATAATTCCCCAAGCAGGTGATTTGTGACGAAAATTTGTCAAGTTTGACCCAATTTGTCCAACCGATTCCCGATTCTATGACTGTCTCTCCAAGTTTAAATTAATCTCGTGGGTTGTGAGGTTGTTTCCCTCATCTCAATTACAGACGAAACTCTCGTAAGCGACAGCCTTTGTAATTCGTAAAAGTCCTCTCACTCCTAACTCCTAAGGGAAATCCAAAAAAGTTCAAGTTATAGGGAGTTCGAGTTATCGAGAGCTCGGAGTAAATAGTCGGAAGTAAGGGAAAACTATTTTTTTTTACCGTACAGTGAACATTTTAATCACATTTAATTGTAGAAATGGTAGGTGAAAATTGAAAGATACTTCTAGAATATAAATTAGAACGTAAACGTAACAAGACGTAGCCTAAACAGACCACGCGTTTACTGTTTTGAGAAGTAAAGCTGTTTCACGTTAGATCTGTGACAAACAACGTCCGCCTTCGCTTGTAAACTATATGCCTACAACATGTCAATGGGAAATTCAAAATTCAATGTTTCGGACGCGAGTGCACTCTTTTTTTTCGACTTTTTAAGTGCTCAAAACATGGTTCGAGTTATCTAGGGTAAAATTAAAGAATTGATCTGAGAGGAGACAAAAATTAATTCGAGTTAGCGGGAGGTTCGAGTTATCGAGGGTAAAATTACAGTAAATGTACAATGTATGACGGAAATCCAGAGGAAATCGATTTTGGTTCGAGTTAGCGCGAGTTTCGAGTTAGCTAGGATTCGAATTATCGGGATTCAACTGTATAGCTCTTAGTAATAGTTCAAACGTTTCTGGTCGTAGCTACAGCTGGTAGCTTACGAGAGTGGAGGCAAGAAAGCTTCGACTTGCATAAGGATTTGTTTAAAAATCGTGGCAAAGAGCTATCTGGATCTCCAGTTGCTTTGACGACGACGACAACAACAACAACATACACATTTACACTTTATTTACGTTCTAAATATGCTCAGCCATACGGCTAGTTTTCAGATATCCCACGGGTAAAATGAGGCCAAAAATTAAATTAAACAAATTAAAATTTGAATTACGAACTGACAAGATTAAATACCTTAACCTAAAATTAGATTTAATAACAAAAGTTGACAAAAACAACAAAAACAACAAGATACCCACACGTTTTATAGCAAATTCGTTGTATCGCGCTACGCGTTTGCAAACTTTGAATGAGTTTTATTTTCCGTCAATCATTTGAAAGGGGGCGGAGTTAATGCAAATCACGATGCAACGCACTCGCCCAGCTTGGCCCTCAAAAACAAAACTGAGAATGACTCTAGACTGCTCAAGAACAGCGAAGGAAATCGCGATGATGAGTCGACTTCAGTTTCTAGAGGGCAGGAGGCAGACATTGCTTTATTCTTGCAAGAGACAAGAATAAGAAAGATCAGAAAAATATTCGAAGAAAACTAGTCGATTATTGCCCGAAACAGGGCGATCGCAAAGAACGAACCTTAGAACACAGAAACAAACGAAGTGGATCGGAATGCACTAATAACAAATAAACATGTGTATCCTAAGAGGACCGCTACGGTGATTGACTTAACCGGAAAACCCAAAATTACTTCGAAGTTTGCAAAACGTGCAGCGCGATACAATGAATTTGGCTATAAGATATAGCTTGGAATGTTTTATTAGCTATAGGATAATACATGTTCTGGTCTTCTTATTGTTATGTCGTGTTTTATAGGTGTCCCTAACACGCCCAAGTTCGAAGTTATATCGGGCGAAAAAGAAAATGAGTGTGCTGTCTCTGTACAATGGCCCCGGGAACCATCATCAAGTGATTGCCCTGTACTATTTCATACAATAAGTTACAGACGACAAGGTGAAAATGAGTGGACTAGATTGAATATTACAGGAAAAAATGCCAGTAGTCAGAGGATCTTGACAGAATGTTCTACGGAATATGAGTTCCAGCTTGTGACGACGAATGAAGTAGGATTGGGCCCTTCTAAGACGTACAGAGGTATATATGCATTAATGTGCAGATGGTGCTCAGCGGCCATATTGAATTTCCAAAAGATCAAAACGGCAGCCATGCATGAAGGTGTTCCAACCAATCTTACGGGCATTAAACTGACTTTTCTTGTGTAAACGCTTGCTTTTGCTCCAATTATTTTTCATACACGGACCCGTGTATTCACTTTTGTGAGGCATGTATATCTTGCAAACTCACATAGTCAGATTGCCTTCTTTTATAAATGTCTTACTACGACGAGTATAAAAGGAGGTAATCTGTACATAAATCCTGCTGTGTAATATTGATCATTTATCTTGTAATAATCAGCGGAATTTCCGTACGCATGCGTACATAATCATTAGTGTGTGAGCTTCGGCCATGTTGTGTAGTTCCGTACTAGAGATTAAAACTGTTTGGAATTCTCAACCATCCTAGTTGTTAGTAAGGAGATTATTAAATGCTGTCAGAAGTGAAGCACGAGAAGTAAATTCTGCGACAGTAGAGTGAAGTTTTGGAACGAAGACAGAACACAAAGTCCGGCTATTGACATCAGCGATTTGGAAAAGTACAAATATAAAATCGTGTTACGCCAAGGGGCGAAGGCAACGAAAACAGCCAAAAAAAACAGTAGGTCTAATTAGCAAAAAAAAAAAAACACTTTGCACGTGCGGCATACTTTTTATCTAATTAGCAAAAAACAACTTTGCACGCTTTTTTTGTACATTTCTTTGCCGTTGTTTTGCACGACTACAACTTGAAACTTCCAGAAACTTCCTAGTTACACGTTTTATGGAGGAAGTGTTGTATGTGTTTCTGTTCACTTTTTTTTCGCAGCCGCTCATTTCCACCTTGGTGGCAGCTAGCATTTCCCCTTTTTCTCACCACCGGTGTAAAATTTTAGTTTTTCTTCCAATGAAATTGGTCTTCTTTTGGTTTTAATCTCTCGCTCTACAATCTTGGACAAAACTGTTGAAAAAATTGTTACTTGGGGAATATTTTCTAAACATCGTAGCTGTACCGTTTCTTCCCTCTCCCCCTTCCCCTGAAAGCAATGTTGTTGTGTATTCAAAAGAAAGCCTGTTCCCTGGGCGTTTGTAGGAAGCAAAAATTGAACTGGGGAAAGGGGATTTCTTTCCGCAAAGGCGTCGTTTTGGAAATAGTTTTGTTGCCCCCGTAGGAAAGTGGACATGATGGGGAACACTTTCTCAAGTAGTTTTGTCTGCGATTGTAGCTCTTTCTCTGTTATCCACGTCAATGTAGACATTGAATTAAGTCGAAAGAAAGAATCGGCTTCTTTTGTCGTTGTTTTTATTTCTAAAAGGCCGGGAAGCTATGCGATTTACCGCCGAAACGCGCCGGTGCGTGAAATGCAAAATTTTGTTCCGGCTTACATGAAGGGGTGGACTTATATATGGACGATTTTCTCGGAACCAATGTTTCTTGGATGCATAGATTACCAAATTTTCTTACCCATGTTGCTCCACTGCGCGCGCTTTGCGCGCGCGAGAGCTCCGGTATTAGAATAACGGAAATAAATATCACCAACGCCAGTTAAACAAGTTTCGAGCTTGAATTCCAACATAGCAAGAAGTATGAAGTAACTGTCTTTTCTTGGAATAACCTGGGACGCAGTAAAGCAAGCACGGCATGGGAACCGAGAACAGCACAATGTAAACATAATTTCTTTGGTTAAATAATTAATATAGAGAGCCATATTGTGTTGCTTCTTCGTGTGTTTGAGAGTGTGTGGCCGTCATGTTTTCAAAGACCGAAGAGCTTACCTGTTTCAAAATTTAAGTATGTAGTTTAGAATACTTTATTTTTCTGACGTGCAATCAAATTCTTATCCCACATAGAGTTTTAGCTTATTAGAGTATTTTGGAAAGAAAACTATTCCTTTGATCAAAAGTTTGCGATGTTTCTTAGAACGCCTGAATTTCAAATTCATATCCGCCAATGACACAAAAAAAACCTTACCCTATGTGATGAAACACATAGCATGGGTCCAAGTAAGAAAGTAAGGCATGAATATCTAATAAGGAAAAATTTCTTGCGAAGAGTAAATCATGATAATAACAGGAAAAAAAGCTTTTTTTAAGTTTAGGACAATTAAAGCACCACAGACTTATTAAGACTTTTGAGAAGCCAAAAACTAAGGTTGATAAAACTTTTAGCAGGAAATCTCAATCGAATTGCAGGTTAAAGATTTTAAGGCTTTCATAATTTCTCTCACCGTATAAATCTTAAAATTAATTTTACTATACAATTTTCTGAGCTTGGAGCGCAGTTGTATTTTGCTGACTTAAACGATCTCTGCTGTTTTTATGCAAGGTTTGATTTTATTCTTGTTTATTTATACTAAAACTGCTTTCACTTTTTAAAGATGTTCCACAATCCGTCATGCATTTGGATTTTAAAAGAGGCTGTGGTTTTATAAACTTAACTTGGAATCCACCATCACGTGACGTCGAAGGAGGAATGGTGACAGGGTACCTTGCACAGATAAAGGCGGCCAGTTCCGAAGGACCATGGACAACAAAAAACGTTTCTCAGTCAACTCAGTCATGTCTATTTACCCATCTTAATCCAAATAGCGAGTACCATGTAAGAGTAATGGCGCAGGACAAAATGGGATATAGTTGGCCTTCTGAGGTGTCAAAAGTATCTACGATTCAAGCAGGTGATTTGTGACGATTTGTGACCCAATTCGTCCAACCGACTCCCGATCCCATGACTGTCTCTCCAAGTTTAAATGAATCTCGTGGGTTGTGAGGTTCTTTCCCCCATCTCAATCGGCAAACGAAACTCTCGTAAGCGATCGCCTTTGTAATTCGTAAAAGTCCTCGCACTCCTACGGCTGGATTCGTTTACCCAAATCAAATTGAAATCTCTTATCAAAGCAACCATGTGATAAGCCTATTAGGGACGGTCGCTTACGAGAACGTTTCACAGAAAGGTTGGTATATGTTATTAATTACCCATAAATTCTTTTTTTCATAACAACGTCTTATTCAAATTTAATGGGATATTAGAGCCGGACTATGTTATGTATTACCTAAAGTTTGATCACCTGCTCTTATTCAAGTGTCGCATATGAAAACTTAACATCAAAGAAAAAGACCAGAGGCGGTCCTTTAAACAGCTTTTTGTCATACAGTCTACTCCCAATAAACTCGGGAGCTGGAAGGAAATAGACGGAAGTAAGGGAAAAATTAGTTTTTACCGTACAGTGAACATTTTAATCACATTTAGTTGTAGAAATGGTAGGTGAAAATTAAAGACACTTCTAGATTATAAATCAGAACGTAAGCCTAAATAGACCATGCATTTACTGTTTTGAGAAGTAAAGCTGTTATACGTTAGACTTGTGACAAACAACGTCAGCTTTCTCTTGTAAACTATATCCCTACAACACGTCAATGGGAAATTCAAAATTCAATGTTTCGGACGCTAGTGCACTCCTTTTTTCTTCGACTTTTCAAGCGCTCAAAACATGCTTCGAGTTATCGAGGGTAAAATTATAGAAGTGATCTGAGGGGAGACAAAAATTAATTCGAGTTAGCGGGAGGTTCGAGTTATCGAGGGTTCGAGTTACCAAAGGGTAAAATTACAGTAAATGTATGAAAGAAGTCCAGGGGAAATCGATTTTGGTTCGAGTTAGCAAGGGTTTGAGTTATCGGGATTCAACTGTATAGCTTTTAGTCATAGTACAAACAGTTATGGTCGTAACTACAGCTGGTAGCTTACTAGAGTTGAAGCAAGGAAGCTTCTACTTTCTTTAGGATTTGTTTAAAAATCGTAGCAAAGAGCCACCTGGATCTCCAGTTGCTTTGACGACGACAACAACAACAACAACATACACATTTACACTTTAGTTGTAAATGTACGTTGTAAATATGCTCAGCCATACGGCTAGTTTTCAAATATCCTACAGGTAAATGAGGCCACCAATTAAATGAAAAAAATTAAAATTTGAATTACTAACTGATAAGATTAAACTCCTTAACCTGAAATTATGATGTAATAACAAAAGTTGACAACAACAACAAAAACAACACGCTCTATACCCACACGCTTTATACCCAAATTCGTTGTATCGCGCTGAGCGTTTTCGAATGGGTTTTTCTGTTCCGTCAATCATTTGAGTGGGGGTGGAGTTAATGCAAATCACGATGCAACGCACTCGCCCAGCCTGGCCCTCAAAAACAAAACTGAGAATGACTCCAGACTGCTCAAGAACAGCGAAGGACATCGCGATGATGAGTCGACTTTTTGTAGAGGGCAGGGGGAAGACATTGCTTTATTCTTACGAGAATAAGAAAGATCGGAAAAATCTTCGCAAAAAACTAGCCAGAAACAAACAACTGAAAGTGTATCGAAATGCACTAATCACAAGTAAACATGTGTTTTCTAAGAGGTCCGCTACGGTGATTGCGGAACAGAAAAACCCAAAATTCCTTTTTGAAGTATGGAGAACGTGCAGCGCGATGCAATGAATTTGGCTATAAGATATAGGTTGGGATGTTTTATTAGCTATAAGATAATACATGTTCTCGTTCTTATTGTTATGTCGTGTTTTATAGGTGTCCCTAACACGCCCGTATTCGACGTTATATCGAGCGAAAATGAAAATGATTGTGCTGTCTTTGTACTATGGCTCCGGGAACCATCATCAAGTGACTGCCCTGTACTATTTCATACAATACGCTACAGACGACAAGGTGTAAATGAGTGGACCAGATTGAACATTACAGAGGGAAATACCAATCGCGAGAAGATCAAGACAGACTGTTCTACGGAATATGAGTTCCAGGTCTTGGCGTGGAATGACGTGGGACCGAGCCCCATTAACACTAAGACATACACAACAAAAGGGAATGCAATAAAGAAATTACCTTCTCCATATATACGTATGTTACACGTCTACCACCAGTAACATTTCTTGCAAAACTGTACTGAAGTTTCGCCGGTGGAACTTGAACGTTTTCTTGTTTTGCCGTCGGTACCTCCACAAGGTTGGTTTCTTGCGGGAATTAAACTGGCTTTTCTTGTGTAAACGCTTGCTTTTACTACAATTATTTTTCATAGGTTGAATATATCTGTCACTTTCCCTTTAAAAATTGTAAATAATGAGTTTAAAGAAACTACACACTAAATCTGGAGTGCAGAGCAGTCCTTTGTTGCATTTTAGAAAGCCTGAGTTCTTCCGGTCCATGCATTTTCTGTAATCTGACAACACAAAAAGTACAGAACATGTATGGAAGACGTTGTAAAAAGCGGCAAAGGACTTCTGTGCACTCCACATTTAGTGTATAAGTTAAAGTTTATTAGTTAAAGTTTGCAAAGAGAAAGTGATGAATATATTCAATTAGGAAGAATAAGTTGATTTTGAATTCCGATACAAACTTTTGAATTCCCCGCCATCTTGTTCTGATTACCCAGCATGCCCTCACAACCGTGAAGGGGTCTACAGTTTGTATTTGGATTATAATGTCCTCAGTAATGATCACAACGTTTTCCTTCAAAATTCTCCATAATTTATTATCTCGTTACACATCGGGGCCAGGCCCGAGTGCCATAGCATGACCGCATCTTCTGGAGTTCTCGCGGCCAATACTAAGACACACATCGCGATGTTCCAAAAATAAATTGTTGATTTTAAAAAGTCAGAAAAATTGAAAGATGAGATGCTCTGGAGGAAACTAAACTTCAACCAGACAATTGAAACCCAAACATCAAGAATCAGAATAGTCGACCTCATAGCAGCCAATGTAGATACTGAAAGCGAAAAATTGTTATATTTAAAATTACAGGTATTTCTCTGGTGTATATTCTCATCTATATCTTCGCCGGTTTACTTACAATCGTGGGAGCTGTACTACTGGCAGTGTGCATCAATCAAGACAGAAAGAAAGGAAACCAATCCACTAAGAGGTATGTAGGTACAATCTGTTTAAAAATTCCTCTTTTCCTTCATTTTAAAAGATGCAATATATACCCAACATACGGGGATATTTGAGTCCACCTGAGCCGTGTAGTCTCTTTTGACGTGTTTGGCCTTTAGAAGCCATCTTTTGTATTCTACATAATTGTAGTAGAGCTCATTATGGTAAAGCTACGCGTCGGAACGCCACGAGTAAGAAAATCTGGTCATCTAGCGATACATAAATTTTGTTAGGCCAAATTTTTCCATTTGATTAAATGGGCGTTCTAGAACTTGAAATACATTCCTACCTCGACTAACGGCCACCTATACACAACGCAGGGGTACCTAACGTCAATTTTCGGAAAATATCTGTTCGGAAGACGATTTGAGATCTAGAATTTTCGGAACATTTGTTGTAAAAGTTCTTGCTTTCCTGCCTC